TTGACTAAGAGGCCGTTAATTTGATTTCAGCCCTCCTTAATGAGTAAGTCAGCACTCAGATGGGGCAGGGGAGAAAAGAGATGAGAATGGGAGGAAAACCTTGGGTCAGTTCCTTTCAAATCTGCTGCCACTTCAAAGGAGACGTAATGATCAGAGCCAGCCAGCGACCAACAGGACATACGCGGACGTAGAGATGACAAGCGGTCCATCGCGTCTTGCTTTCATTTGCAGACTTGCGCGATGCAGATGAAAGGCGGGACCACGCTGAGCAGGTATCAGAAACAGACACCAGGCTTCATTTCTCACTTTCACAACAACAAACCTGCAGAGAACAAACAAACCCAACTGTACTGTAAAACTGTTATTTCAAATTCCAGAGAGGAACTTGTAATTTATTATAATCTGTTACAGGCCCATTTCAGTCGGCCACAAATAGGAATCCATTTCCTGATTACTTGGTAGTATGGGAATTTTCTAGTTTGCAACACAGAATCTTGTATTTTTACACCAGTGAGTTCTCAATTAAACTCAACTCCTTCATGGTCATGTTGATTATTTAAATATCCACTATTGAACTCTGTTTATTGCAGCTCTGACATCTCTGTATTCCTTTGAGTTGATGCTTAATCAAAATGTAATCTCTTTGAAACATCTGATAGAGCTCCTAATGGTGTCACATTGAATGAGAAGAAAATGAACAAATGAAGAGCAAAGGCTACTTGAATCTTTAATGTTACTCGCTGCACAACACTTTTAAAATCTCAAATAGAAAGCATGAATGTACACTTTCCACTGATGGTCAATGGGTAAAAGTAATAGAAGTAGTAAAAAGCATAAGACTTGAGAAAAGAGGAAAGGTTAAGTCAGGGTCAACCTTTGCATCTTTACCTTACATTTACCAGTCACTAGGTCAGGTTAAGTATTACTGTATGTCCAACACCACCTTCCATTTTGGAAATCCTAAGAACATTGGGTTTTGTGGGGATTGGAAATTGGGCTTTCAGTAATGATGAACTAATGAACTGTACTCTAATTAGCAGGGTGTTTATTGTGCGCTTTTGGAATCGATTGATCTCAGGTGTCCTCATGCAGGCAGTATAAAGAGTCAACAGTGTTTTGGGCCTTCCCTTAGTTTAACACCAAGGACAAATGGAAAACTTGCTTTAATGAAAGTCTCAGAATAAAGGATGCCCCTGTTTTGGACAGGATCATCAGATGTGTCTGATAAGGCTGTCATTTTGCTTCGCAGATCACAAGAGTGTCTGGTCTAACGCTGTGTGTTATTTTTATTTGTGTTTTTGTTGAATCTGAACCACACCAGCCAAACAAAAACACATTCAAACTAAAAACAGCATGCATTAATGTCTGAACTGGATGCCATCAGACTAAAAGGTTATACACAACAAATTACGATTCCATCCATCTTCGTCCGTGTTGTGTCGCTAGCGGCCGCCCTAAACTTCCCCTTCCCTTGCCACATCAACCGGCTCTGACTGGGGGATTCTAAGACGCTCCAGCGGAGATATAATCCCTGGACCTGGTCCTGGGTCTGCCCCTAGATCTCCTCCAAGCAGGCGTTCCCAGGACACCTCCCTAGGGAGGCGCCCAGGTGGCATCCACACTAGGTTACTGAATAAAGTGAACTGCTCCTTTATGCATACATTACCCCTGTGATTCTCCTGCCCATCTCAGACTCAATTGACCCTTGACTTGAGAACCAGACCCTGACATACTTGAACTCCTTCAGTTGGAATAAGGATTCATTACCTGCTCAGAGAAGGCAGTTCATCGGTTTTCTGCTGAGAATCATCTCCTTAAAAGAAGACGTTCTGATCCTCATCCAGCTGCTTCACACTCGGCTGCGAACCGATCCAATGAGACATGAAGGTTGCAGAGCGGTGACGCCAACAGAACCACATCATCTGAAAAAAACAGCAATGCAATCCTTAGCCCGACAAACTCATCTTAGCCCCTGCCCCGCCCCTTACATTACTGCACATTAAAGAAACCCCATTAACAAACCTACAGTTTATTCATTAATATCTCCGTTTGAAGGTATGATTGAGCTGTTTATTGTAAATGTTTAGATTTCAAAGCCGTAAGTAATACAGTGTCTGATCAGTTGCCGTTTTAAAATCGCTCAGTGATGCAGACAGCAGCTATGTTTCAATCATTTTGGCTTCCTCTGTACCTGTCCTGTTTTAATAGGCAAGGCAAGTTTATTTATATAGCACCTTTCAACACAAGGCAATTCAAGGTGCTTTACAAAAATGAAAGACATTCAGACAAAGGCATTTAAAAACAGTCATTAAAAAGAAAAGATAATAAAAGAAACATTAAAAGAAAAAATACATGAATAAAAAGTACATGAATAAAAAGTTACAGTGCAGTTTAAGATATGAATAGTTCACACATAAGTTCCACTAAAAGTAATAATAGAGTCATTACAGAACATACATAACTGACACCTATATTTGAAAGACCAATAGCCATTTATTTTTGAAGGATCCTTGTGTGATTGTATTGTTATACTTCAGCTTTTTTCCTTTCTCACCATTGTGTGAATACTTTGGCCAGCAGGTTGCTGTGTAATAGACACATGAAAGCCAATGAAGCACAGCAAAAGCTCCTAAACAAGCATCAATAATAGACGGATGCGCTATCTCCTGGGCTCAGCTCTGCAGGAGGTACACAATCTAGCGAAACCAACCATCTGTGGCCCAAACAAAAACCTTCAGAAGCTCTGATCTCCACCCCCCCCCCCCCNTTTGTATTTCTATAGGTTGTATAGATACGAGCATGGTTTTACTAACATGTTTAATCATGTTTAATGCCGTTTGCTAAGACTTTATAAGTCGCTCATAAAACACAGGAGGTATGGAAACTAAGAACACCATATATTTGTAGATTTGGCAGCTGATATAACTCAACACATCAGTTTTATTTCCTTTAACTGGTGGATATAGAGTTGCTGCAGTGGAGACGCTGCGCACAGCTGATCGACAGCTGGAACACAAACCACCAAATAAAAACATTAATTGACTCCACTCCGCAGGGATCCCCCGATACTTTGCTACAGTTGCTCATCATGGTGGGGGGGGGGGCACACTGCGTGAGGAAGGTTATGTGTATTTTGTGATTAACTTTTTTCGGACCACTTATTTATTTTGGTGAAGATACGACCTCCATGCTGCTACTCTGGTTCAAACTGCATCCACCTAACGATGTGATTTGTCTACCTCCCCAAAGAACCACAATCTGACACAGTGTGAGATGTCTTTTTTAGCTGTTCTGTCGTCATTTCCTGTTATCTTCTTCCTGCAGTCAGTCAAAAATGAATATTAATACCGGGCGTTTCTTTGACTATTTATAGGCAAATATGGGCGTTTCGTGAAGCCCGCAAAAGCTGCGCCGCATTTCGAGTTGATTGTGATTTATAAAGGGAAACCGGCGTAGGACGTGCGTGAGCAGTGTTTTACAAATCGGAATATTTGTGTGCATATTTATTTGCTTTTGCCGTAAAACACCTTCCCACGTGAATCCTACGCAAAGTTTTATAAATGAGGCCCCTGAACTCATACTTGCCAACCTTTAGACCTCAGAAATCGGGAGCATTTCAAAATCCGGGGAGAGGGCAATGAAATCGGGAGTCTCCCGCGAAAATCGGGAGGGTTGACAAGTATGCCTGAACTGTGGAAGATAAAACGGGTTCCACGTCTGTGTTTTTATTTGTAGTGAGAAATGTTGGACTTAAGTGACAGATATGCTAAATAAAAGACTTTTCAGTTCCACTTAAATAAATATATGTATCCCTTTAGTATTTACATTGATTCTCTTGAATTTAAGTTCAGATTAGATACATGTGATACAGAGACTTACTAATATTAACAACACAAACAAATAAATAACAGAATAGGATAGAAAAGAGAGAAACCTGTACAGCAGTGATGTCATCAGTTACATTCTGTATATTTAAGTACTTCCTTGTACCTGACCCAGACCCTGCACATGTTTTCACCTCAGTTACTATCAGCTCCATAGTTTATCTGAGAAAGGTCAAAGACCCTCCATTCACATGGCTTACCTCTCTGTCCTTATTGAATGTCTTGTGAGAGTTCAGTCAGTGTCCAGCTGTGCCTCGCAGACTTCACACTCCAACAGGAAGTGAGTGTGAGTGAAGCAGGCCTCCTGAGCAGTCTCCACCCTGTTGCTACAAGGAAGTACTCTATCCACATTCCCCAGGTGTGACCCAGCTCTGGAATTCACCTGTCACTGTGGCAGTACTCAGCTCTGCCAACATGAGGCCCAGCCTGGGAATACACCCTTTAACCCTCTAACCCTTTTAGAGGAAACGTCATCAAATGTAATTCATGTTGACTTTTTCCGGGATTGTTTAGTTTGTGAGCTTCTTATTGTTTGTATTAAGTAAGGAAGAGTGGCCACACGTGAAATATTTCCCAGAATTCAGACTTTTTTATAGGAATTCTGACATATTTTCTGAGAATTCAGACTTAAAAGTCAGAATAAAAAAACACCGAACTGCACCCCATCAACCTTCACCCAGAAGAAGCACGCCCCAGCGGATGGATAGGGGCCAGAGCGCGCGACTCTTCTGTGCGTCAACAGAGCAGCAGGTGTCGCTTTTCTGCCTTCTGCTGATAGCTCATAATGTGTTCCATGTTCCATCGTGTTTTTAAACACTGCGTAATAAAAAACGTGTCTAGGACAAGAAATGTTTTATAGGCCTATTGTTAAAGACAGATTGTCAAACGGTATATTATAGTGTGTTTATGTGCGTTTTTTTTATCTGTATTCGAGTATTTTTGTATTTCATCTTAAGTTTTATTTGGTGCTGCATTTCAAATTTTCTCTTTTCTGTTGAGGTAATTCAACTGCAAAATTAAAAATGAAAAAAAAAATGTTCGATTTTACGGAGCGCAGTTAAACGCACCATAGATCATAACAAGTGCGTCATGTGACACATGCAGCACACGCAGGCGCGGTGAAATCCTAGAGCAGAAGCTTCTGTAGCCGGTGTGGAGTATGAGCCCGATGTTAGCTGTGTTCACGGTGACCCTGCTCTGTGTGGGGCACGGCCTGCCGCTCTCTTTCCAGGTAACAGCTTACGTGATATACTTATTTAAAATACACATATGTGTGTGTGTTTCCTGAAACATCAGTTCCCTTCTGGAGGAAGCTCAAGTGGGGAGTCACGTGTCCCCTACTTCTCGGTCTGACTGAAATTATTTTTAACACATTTATAATGTTCTGCTTTAAAGTGACAAACGATGCAAAACGTATTAGAAGGTGTGGAATGTGGATACTGGTGTAAAGCACAATTGGGTTTAAGTGGTGAAATGTAACAAAGTACGTTTACTCAAGTACTTTACCAAAGTAAAAAACGTAGCTACTTGTACTCTACTGGAGTATTTTTCGCTTAATGCTACTTTATACTTTTACTCCACTACATTTTGAAGACAAATGTTGAACTCTTTACATTTATTTTACAGATTTAGTTACTTGTTACACTACAGACTGAGGTTGTTAATACAAAATATAAATCAATTATATAGGTTAGTAAGGCTACCCAATATAAGTAAAGCAACCCCACTTTTACCAAGATATGAACAAATGAATGCATCAATAATTATAATATATAATAATAATTTCACAAATATGCTGTTTAAATGTGCTATTATACATAACATAAAGTACCTTTTTACTTTTGGTACTGAAAATATGTTTTGATGCCAATACTTTTATACTTTTACTTAAGTACATTTTAAAATGCAGGAACTTCACTTGCAACTGAGTATTCTTACACTGTAGTATTGATACTTTTACTTAAGTAAATAATCTGAGCTCTTCTCTCATCTCTGGTTTCACTTAGTGTTATGTTAAGCCCTATAGAAGAACGGAGATGTAAAAGTTTTAAACACAGGTCTCTTTATGATCGTTTTAGGACCAGATAACTCAGTTTAATGTGCGCTGTACATTCATTTCCATAGTCAAGAAAACATGATGGATTCCAGACTAAAGGCCAGTTCACAGAGAAGTATTTCACTCAGACTCTGGACCACTTCAACTTCAACAGCATGGGGAATGGAACCTTCCAGCAGCGATACCTGATCACAGGTCAAGCCACTTCCCATTTTCAATGTTACATATGCTGCGCTCATGAGCAAATTACTTATTGTGTTCTTTTTTTTCTCTCCTTTAGATAAGTACTGGAAGGAAGGCTACGGCCCTATTTTATTCTACACTGGCAATGAGGGAGACATCTGGGAGTTTGCAGCTAACTCTGGTTTCATCTCAGAGTTAGCTGCACAGCAAGGTGGCCTGGTCATATTTGCAGAACATGTAAGAACAAAGAGCACAGTCAAATAAACCATATTACATCTGTATATTATTGACTGAACTCAAAGTCAAATTCCCAGTTCACGGGACTGAGGAAATAAGGAAATTGATGGTTAAAGTTTGATAATACTGTCAGCTGACTTTCAGCCCCCACAACTTTCCAACCACAATGATGTCTTTTTTCAAAGCAGTTGTGAGCTGGGGTAACGCAGCAGAAACAAAAAACTGTGTTGCTTTCGAGGAACCTCTGTTCATTTTTTAAGTGGCCATGTTTCCAAAAAACATTTTAATCAACATTTTCTTAAATGTGTAATTTTTGCGTCCTCATTGAATGGGGTGACGTCAAGCTTTGCCGAACTGCATTGTGGTTCCGTCGCGCCGCTTTACCTCCGTTGCTCGCTTCGAAAAGTTGAGAAAAGTTTAACTTTTCAAGCGTGATGTCCTTTTCTGGAGATACTCCAGCTCTAACACTGCCTCCATTAACCCCCCCCCCCCCCCCCCCCCCCCCGGNNCCCACCTGCAGAGGTACTATGGCCGCTCGCTGCCGTTTGGCAAAGACTCCTTCAGCTCCCCCCAGGTGGGCCTGCTGACGGTGGAGCAGGCGCTGGCGGACTTCGCTCTGATGATCTCTGAGCTGAAGCAGCAGCTGGCCGCTCCGCTCTGCCCTGTCATCGCGTTCGGAGGCAGGTAGGTCCACACACTCATGTCAGAACTATTCTCCCAGAAAAGGTGAAACATGTGCTTAACTTTACCTAATGATCTAGCAAGAATGGTCCCCAATGTGGATTTGACCAAGCTTAATGAAGAAATGTAATAATCATAATTGTATGAAAATGGTTTATTTTAGACATGCTCCTGCTCCTGCTGGTTATTGGAGATGAGATATAAAGAGCAACAGTAAAGCGTTCAGAGGCTGATAAGATACAAACAATATGAGCCTTTATCTTGTGCTTTCACTTTTCTGAAGTATGATTGTGACTGAATGAAAAGTTAACTTTTGTTTTGTTGATCAGACATTAGTTGTATTAATATTCACTTAATCTTAAACCAGACAGGAAATATAAACGATACACATGTTGTTCTTATTGGCTCTCTTGTTTGTGCCTCCTCTCCCTGCAGTTATGGAGGAATGCTATCGGCCTATATGAGACTCAAGTATCCCAACATGGTGGCGGGGGCTCTTGCTGCCAGCGCCCCCGTGCTCTCCACTGCGGGGCTCGGGGACTCCAGACAGTTTTTCAGAGACGTTACAGCTGTAAGTGTTTATGTCCTCAACGTGTGATGCAGAGAGACACATCTACTACAGGCTCTAAGATATCTGAGTTGGTTTGGACCTTAAACTGTGAACAGTCTAGCTCAAAATGTGTGAATGTACAGTACGGTAAGGCAGGTTGGATAATGAATGCACCTCTGTTACTCTTTCAAAGGATTTTGAGCGGGTAAGCCCAGCGTGTAGAGATGCTGTGAGAGGAGCGTTTCAGCAGCTCAAAGAACTAGCTCAGCTTCAAGGTACTGCTCTGCTTTCTGAACAGAAGATGGCTGAATGACTGTAGGCAGAAAGGATTGTGTTCTATTCAAAACAAAGTATTACAGTATATTATATAGTAGTGACTCTGAATAAGGAATAAAAAGCCACTGCTTGATGGAACAGATTACAGTCGGATCCAGTCGGAGTTCTTCCTGTGTTCCCCGCTGGCGTCCTCTCAGGACATCCAGCAGCTGTACGGCCTGCTGAGGAATGCCTTCACTCTGATGGCCATGCTGGACTACCCCTACAGCACCCACTTCATGGGCAACATGCCTGCCAACCCAGTCAAGGTAACAGCTGATCAGCAGCAGTCTGAAGTGCCACATCACTAATATACAAACATGTGTTTGTAAACGGAACAGAAACCTATAGTCTGGTTGCCAGTGTAGTGAACCAGGAAATGTTGAGTACCCCCAACTTGCATATGTTGGGCAATTTGCACAATTAGCACAAGTTGTGTTTATTAAATGTAATGGCATTATAGCCTATGTAAACTATGTTTAAAAAATGACTTTGCCGATTTGACATTCCACTTCTGGAATGTCAAGCTGAAAGTGGCAATATTTGTACTCTTTGGGCTGATTCTCACTACCATGAATAGTGTTGCAAGCATTAGATATAGAGCGTAAGATGAACAGTGTTCACTGTGGACAATTATTTTTCAAATAAATAAGCAATATTCCCAATCAAAATGATCCAGAGCCCCCTAAAACATTGTCTGGTTTAAACTACACTTTTTGTATACTTATAATGTCAGAAATGGACTCAATATCTTCAATTACCCCCCAAACCACTCCAAAGTTGTCCAAATCGACGAAGCCATCTTAGTAACTATTAGCTATTAGTCCACATAGGCTATAATGGTAATTCATTTGAATAAACACAACTTATGCTACTACATTTCCGGGTTCCCTATACTGTATGACTCTATGAGCTGCCGACTTTTATGAAGGCTACTTTTCATATTCAGCCTTCCCAAACCAAACCAGCTTTTCAAAACTGCTGCACATTAATATCAAGGAAACAAAATATGATTCTTTGAAACTGCAGAATAATGACACTGTAAATATATGAAATGAAAGGTCTGCAGGGTAAGCAAAAACAAAATAAAACAATAATTCAATCAATCAATCAATGTTTATTTATATAGCCCAATATCACAAATGTTACATTTGTCTCAGTGGACTTCACAGTTTGTACAGAATATCAGTATGACAATACGACACCCTCTATCCTTAGACCCTCACATCGTACAAGGAAAAACTTCCAGAGAAAACCCACAGTTTAAAGGGAAAAATGGGAGAAACCTCAGGGAGAGCAACAGAGGAGGGATCCCTCTCCCAGGACGGACAGACGTGCAATAGATGCTGTGTGTAAATCGAATGCATGCATAGACATAGAATAGAAATATCTGTAACATGAATATAAATATAGAAATTAGTATAAATAAGCAGAGATGACCAGAGTGACACGAGTTGGGATCTTTTGTAGCAGCTCACACTGATCTTTGCCTCCTCTCAGGTGGGCTGTGAGACCATGCTCAGTGGACCGGACCTGCTCACCAACCTCAGGAACACAGCAGGTACACACACGTGAAACATAGCATCTGAAACTCAGCATCTGCTTACATCTTCTAAAGAAGCTGCTGTCACAAACTCTCCAGGTGTCATCAGCTGCATTTCATGTAACTAGACAGTAGAGGGCAGTGGTCCGCTCCGTAGAATTCTTACTCATGTTGTTGAATTGCTGGACTGTGTTAATAAACTCCATTTCATTCTGTCACTGATGGTCCACCTTCCTTTCATGCAGGGATTGTGTACAACTCTACGGGGGGGCTGAGCTGCTTTGACCTGTACACCCTGTATCTGCAGTGTGCCGACCCCACCGGCTGTGGGCTGGGTCTGGATAGCCTAGCCTGGGACTATCAGGTACTCCCCCCATCCAAACACACAGCACAGAACAAGCAGGATGTGAATGTTGTGTAATCAGATCAAAATGTCAGAATAATAATATACAGGTTAGTATCAGTCCATCCTCTCTGGAGAGTTTAAAGTTCCAAACCTTAACAATCCTCAGTCAGAATAATGATCCTGGCAGAATCTTTTTTTTTTTCTTCACCTCTTTCACAGAAGAAAGAATTGAGGTATTACATTTAGATTTACCAGTTGAATAAAGCGAGCAGAGAAAGAGATGTAGATCATCAGATTCAGTTCAGAGGACTGGGACTAGGCTTCTTGATGAATAAGATTAACCTCTACAGACTCTCAGACCTCATTTCCATTACAAAGTATAGAATGACCTCTAGTTGTGATGTGTGTATGAATGGTAGAGTCTGTTGAAAAATGACACATTATTTGTCCCACTCATGGTGGTGCTCCATTTTCACACTGACGATCCACACTGAGGATCGCACACTGACGTTCGCACACTGAGGCCCCGGCCCCACGAGGACGCATACGGCTAAACGCATAGGTAGGATTAATGCAATCGCAAAAAAGCTTCCGTCCACACGCAATATTCACCGGATAGTGTCTGTCCACAAGAGACAGCTCCGTTTAGCTCCAACCGCTGGAGAAGCTGCAGTACATATGCAGGAGCCTGTACGTGGCGCTGTAACTTCCTCCACAAAAGCAGCGAAGAAGCATGGTTGTCATGGTTGCCCTTCTGTTTATTCTCCGCGGTGGGGGCCGAGGGAACCGGGCAGAGTTTTTCGCCAGTCAACGTGTATTAAAGTTCCGGACAAAATGATAAAAGTGCCAGTCAAAGGTCTTCTTTGTTATTTATTGAGCTTTAAAACAAATGAATAACGACTCTATATAATAAAATACATGGAGCCTTTCTTTTTCCTCCCTCTCTTATGACAGCGTCAGTGTCTGTCTCAAGCAGCAGCTGATCCAGTAATGAGTGACCCGACAGTAAAAATAAACATATTTATAACTAGTTTAGGTAGTTTGAGAGGTAATTAAAATAGCTAAGGGGGATGATCTGGCTTGAAGTGTGTGTTTTGCTCCGTTCACCGCTGCATCACAGCGGGAGGAGCTGCAGGTGAGCAGAGCTGCGTGTCTCTGTCCTGTCAGATTAGACTTCACTCGCGTTTATGTCCATATCGAGAGAAAGATAAATAATCTGAATTCAGTTTGCAGTTTACTTTGACGTGCGGGTGAGCGGTAGAGGCGGGGAGAGGCGGGGCTATTGCCTCATCATTATCAGAAAATGATCGTATAGGGCTTACACACGGAGCCGTTGGACCCCCCAGAGCGTTGCGTATGCCGTTCTATCCACCTTGGGACCCGTTATCGTTTCCGCAGTTATTTACTGTCATATGCGGTCGTCCTCGTGTGGCCGAATGGTCTATATGACACTAAACAGTAACGCAAACGACCTTTTCGTCCTCGTGTGGCCGGGGCCTTAAGATCCAGACGTCCGTGACTAAAATCCTTCATCCGGTTAAAT